GCTATTATGGAATAGTTAATTCAAAAGGACAAATGAGGTAAAACCATCAGGACCTGATGACGCAGAGTCACTTAATGACTGGTTTTAGATACCTCCATTTACTGTATACAGAGTCCCCTGCTAAGGTTTGCATATGAAACTGTTAGTTGGCTTTATAATATTAGTTTCCTTATTTCTTATGAACACAATTTTGATTTTACTTGTGACATTATTGTGCTTAACTTAGAAAAACTACCTAGCTTCCTGTGAAGCTAGGAGGTGGTCAGATGGTAAGCCCTGACTATTAGGATATAAATGAGATTCACTGGGCCATGTTACCAAGAGAACTTTTGCCATCTACTTCTACCTCCTTCCTGCTTCAAATGGAGATGGATGGCCAGAGCTCCAGGTATAAACAGAACCCCACAGTTCAAACTCTTGCTGTTCAAGGGTCAACGGTACTAGAGGAGTCTGGGTGTTGGGGATGTTAGCTGATGTGATGAGCCATCTGTGTTTGCTAACTGGCACTCATTGAAGTTAGGCTCCTACCTCCCAGAGAGCTAGGGCATGGTCTTCCTTGATGATCACATGTCAAAGGGATGGCTCTCAGGTCCTTGAGAAAGAATTTCTGGGTGGTAATACTAGTGATAAGCTGGGAGGTGATCTACAGTTCAAGAGAGCAGAGAAAGAATTTATGATGAAAAGTCTTCTAAAGTAAGTGTTCTATGGAAAGGGAAGTCATGGACCTTCAAGAGGGTCAGGAAGAAACCTGTCTGAAGTGTAGTTAAGTGGAGGGGAACTTTAAGGGCATCAAGGTCAAAGGGAGACACCACCATTCAGGCTCTCCAGGAAGTCAGGTCTCAGAAGTTGCTGAGCGATCATCTCTTAACAGGTAGCAGCTTTATCAGGGCACATACACTGAGCAGCTTGTCAGGGGGTGGTCCTCTGACTTAGATCCTCATCCTACTGGATACAGAGAGTGCCTCTGCACCCTGGTTTTCTGAAGTCCCTTGGGGGCAAGTCTCTGTGGTTTTCTGACCCTGTGTCCATCCTATGCCCCATGACATGCCCCACTCTTGGTCCTGGGCATGTCACTTCAGCCAGTATACACTGAAGTGACATGTCCAGGACCAAATGCATCCACTTCTTCAGGCAAAAACAAATGTTTTCCTCTCGGATTATTCCATGTGAATCATATGTGAGAGCAGAACTGAGGATAGGGAAAGAGACTCTTGTGGCCCAAAGACAGTACACAGGGACACAGGGTACACCTTCCAGAAGTTACCACCATAAAAGGCCGAGCAGTAATACAGGGCAGCCTTGACTGGCGTTACAGCTTGGCTAAGGGGTGGTACTTAGAGAGGAGGTGACTGCTGACCTTAAAATCCAGGCCTCCCTGAGCAGTTCAGTTCAGTTTAGTCACTCAGTCGTGTCCGACTCTTTGTGACCCCAGGGACTGCAGCACGCTAGGCCTCCCTGTCCATCACCAACTCCCGGAGTTTACCCAAACTCATGTCCATTAAGTTGGTGATGCTATCCACCCATCTCATCCTCTGTCATCCCCTTTTCCTCCTGCCTTCAATCTTTCCCAGCACCAGGGTCTTTTCCAATGAGTCAATTCTTTGCATCAGGTGACCAAAGTATTGGAGTTTCAGCTTCAATATCAGTCCTTCCAATGAATACTCAGGACTGATTTCCTTTAGGATGGACTGGTTAGATCTCCTTGCAATCCAAGGGACTCTCAAGAGTCTTCTCCAACACCACATTCAAAATCATCAATTCTTTGGTACTCAGCTTTCTTTATAGTCCAACTCTCACATCCATACATGACCACTGGAAAAACCATAGCATTGACTCAATGGACCTTTATTGGCAAAGTAACATCTCTGCTTTTTAATATGCTGTCTAGGTTGGTCATAAATTTTCTTCCAAGGAGTAAGCGTCTTTTAATTTTATGGCTGCAGCCATCATCTGCAGTGATTTTGGAGCCCCTAAAAATAAAGTCAGCCACTATTTCCACTGTCTCCCCATCTATTTGCCATGAAGTAATGGGACCGGATGCCATGATCTTAGTTTTCTGAATGTTGAGCTTTAAGCCAACTTGTTCACTCTCCTCTTTCATTTTTATCAAGAGGCTCTTTAGTTCTTCTTCACTTTCTGCCATAAAGGTGATGTTATCTGCATATCTGAGGTTATTGATATTTCTCCCGGCAATCTTGATTCCAACTTGTGCTTCCTCCAGCCCTGCGTTTCTCATGATGTACTCTGCATATAAGTTAAACAAGCAGGGTGACAATATAACAGCTTGATGTACTCCTTTTCCTATTTGGAACCAGTCTGTTGTTCCATGTTCAGTTCTAACTGTTGCTTCCTGACCTGCATACAGGTTTTTCAAGAGGCAGGTCAGGTGGCCTGGTATTCCCATCTCTTTCAGAATTTTCCACAGTTTGTGGTGATCCACACAGTCAAAGGCTTTGGAATAATCAATAAAGCAGAAACAGATGTTTTTCTGGAACTCTCTTGCTTTTTCAATGATCCAGCAGGTGTTGGCAATTTGAGCTCTGGTTCCTCTTCCTTTTCTAAAACCAGCTTGAACATCTGGAAGTTCACAGTTCACGTATTGTTGAAGCCTGGCTTGGAGAATTTTGAGCATTACTTTACTAGTATGTGAGATGAGTGCAATTGTGTGGTAGTTTGAGCATTCTTTGGCACAGCCTTTCTTTGGGATTGGAATGAAAATGACCTTTTCCAGTCCTGTGGCCACTGCTGAGTTTTCCAAATTTGCTGACATATTGAGTGCAGCACTTTCACAGCCTCATCTTTTAGGATTTGAAATAGCTCAACTGGAATTCCATCACTTCCACTAGCTTTGTTCATAGTGTTGCTTCCTAAGGCCCACTTGACTTCACATTCCAGGATGTTTGGCTCTAGTTGAGTGATCACACCATCTGGGTGATCATCTGGGTCATGAAGATCTTTTCTTTACAGTTTTTCTGGGTATGCTTGCCACCTCTTCTTACTATCTTTTGCTTCGGTTAGGTCCATACCATTTCTCTCCTTTATTGAGCCCATCTTTGCATGAAATGTTCCCTTGGTATCTTTAATTTTCTTGAAGAGATCTCTAGTCTTTCCCATTCTATTGTTTTCCTTTATTTCTTTGCACTGATCATTGAGGAAGGCTTTCTCATCTCTCCTTGCTGTTCTTTGGAACTCTGCATTCAAATGGGTATATCTTTCCTTTTCTCCTTTGCTTTTCACTTCTCTTCTTTTCACAGCTATTTTTAAGCCCTCCTCAGAAAGCCATTTTGCTTTTTTGCGTTCTTTTTTCTTGGGGATCATCTTGACCCCTGTCTCCTGTACAGTGTCAGGAACCTCCATCCATAGTTCATCAGGCACTCTATCAGATCTATCAGATATCTGTCTGTCTGTCTATCAGATCTAGTCCCTTAATCTAGTTCCCACTTCCACTGTATAATAGTAAGGGATTTGATTATGAGAAGACTCTACACATGGACATCACCAGATGTTCAACACCGAAATCAGATTGATTATATTCTTTGCAGCCAAAGATGGAAAAGCCCTATACAGTCAGTAAAAACAAGACCGGGAGCTGACTGTGGTTCACATCATGAACTCCTTATTGTCAAATTCAGACTTAAATTGAAGAAAGTAGGGAAAACCAGTAGACCATTCAGGTATGACCTGAATCAAATCCCTCCCTGAACAGGAGTTTTTATTTTTCCCTTAAGGCTTTGATGTTTTTCAAACAAAAATATAAAAGATCCAGAACCTCCCCTTAAGCTTCTTCACTAAGTAGTGGGTTTTTAGACAAGACAGAGGCCTGCTGTGGTTAGTGTGAGGGTGTGTGGTCCCTAAAGAGTACTGCCCAGAAGCCTCTTTTTCCCCTTCTTAGAGGGTTTTCTTACACGTTCCTTCCCCACAACCCTCTGATGTCTTTGCCACCGACCTTTTCTTCCGTCCTCCAAAGTATACTCAGACGGTTACCCTCATGTCGTCCTACCCATCTTTCCTGAACCCCAATTTCTTCAAGTAGCTCTCATTTTGCTCACAGCTGTTTCCCCTGCCCGGTAACGAGCCTGGCAGCAAGGGGCGGAGGGAGCAGTAACTTCGGTCACACGGTGGCGCCCGCGAGCCTCCCAAAGCCCGAGCGTCACGTCTGTCACACTTCTCCTCCCGCCCCACCCGCGCCGGGGCGCAGAACCAGCCGCACCCCCGGCCTTCACCGGCGGGACAGCGGAGAGCGTGCTTCGGCATCCCAGCAGGCAGGCGAACGGCTGCAGCTGCGTCCGGCCCGCGCGGGAGGTGCGGCCGGCTGCGGGGGGCCCTGGCTCCAGGCTCCTCCTCCTGCCTGTCTAGCCTTTTCCCACCCAGCCTCCACCCCTCCTCGGCTCGGCGCTGCAAATCCTAGGCTTCCCTGGGAGCGGCGGCGGGAGCAGGGAAGGCGGTCGGAGGAGCGCAGCCGGCCGTCCGCACGGATCACCCGGGCAGCAGCGGCGGCGGCGCTAGCTTAGCTCCAGAGGTTCCGCGGGGCCCGGCGCGCCCCTGCGAGGCTAGGAGAGAGGCGGGGGCTGCAGCTGAGCAAGGGGGAAGAAAGTGAGCGTGTGTGCGTTGTGTGCGTGCGAGAATGTAGGGGGCGACAGGCTCGAATTAGGGCAGCAGAGAGGGCAGGGGAACCGGGGTGCGGCTCCCCAGTGTCTCCCCCAGCGGCACCCGCTTCCCGGCGCCCCTCACCATGGACCTGCGCGGAGTCGGGATGTGCCTTGGCCGCAGCGCGCGGGTGGCTGCCCGGCCCTGGGGGTGCGCGGGCGCGCGCGCGGAGATGGCGAGGTAGGATGGCCGTCCAGCGCGACCCCTGCCGCCCCAACCCAGCGGCCCCTGGGCGGTGCAGCTAACTCGCTGGAGCGCACAGGGGTGTGGGCGGAGGCGGCCCCGCAGCGCCCGCGTCTTCGGGAGTCGCTTTGCCTTTTCCACCCACTCGCACCTGCCACCGCGCGGATACCATGTCGAAAGCGGCTGGAGGCGCATCGGCGGCGGAAAGTTGTCCTCCAACCTCTGCCGGCCCGCCTGCGGCCGCCGCCGTGGAGGACCTGTCCAAAGTGTCGGACCAGGAGCTGCTGCAGTGGAGCAAGGAGGAGCTGATCCGCTGCCTGCGGCGCGCGGAGGCCGAGAAGGTGAGCGCGATGCTGGACCACAGCAACCTCATCCGGGAGGTCAACCGCCGCCTGCAGCTGCACCTCGGCGAGATACGCGGGCTCAAGGTGAGCGCTGCGCTCGGCAGGGCGGGGAGCTGGGCACCCGGGGAGGTGGGGCCAGGCCACTTTCCCTCCTTCTGTCAACAGGTAGTGCTCCCCTGTCTCCCTGTCTGCATCCCCCGCTCCCCTTCCCCAGCCCTTTGGAAACTTTTCCAAACTTCGGAGACATTTGGTTCCCTCCTTTTCCCCATATGGGGCGCGCTAGCGTCGAACTCGGTGGTCCTTCGTGGCCCCAGGAGCGTGCTCCAGGGATGTCGAAAGGCTGGGAGGTCAGCGATGGGCACGCGGAATCTTTAATTTCCCAGGAAACCTGGAAAGTCGGTGCTTTGGGGAGCCGGGTTACAGCCAGGCAGGAAACAGAAACGAGCTTAGGGTTGAGTCCAGGGCGTCTTCGCCCTTGGGGATCAGGGGTACCGTACGGTTGCTCTGGCGTCACGACTGCCCTATGGGGCATAAGGCGAAGAAAGGGACAGTGCTAGGGAGAAGGGCTGACGGAGCGCCCAGGGTGAAGCCTGGCGCCATCCCTGGAGCTGGGCTATGTCTCATCTTGCAGAGAAGCTTGCCTCTGCCTTCCCGTTCTGTTTTCTACCTGTTCCGATGCTTTCCTTCTCCTCGAGTTAGACTGGCATCATCTGTGGTTGCCCGACCGTACCATTTGCCCCCGATTTGATTATAAGTTCATCTAGCCTGGGGTGAAGGGCAGAGGGACTCAGTGTGGGAAGCACAAGGTTCTGAAAAGGTACCTCAAGTGTCAGCCAATGATGCTTTTCCTTTCTTTGCTATTAGGGGAAAGAAAAGAACAAAAGAAAAGCAAAACAGTAAAGCCCCAAACCCCCACTTAGTTTCTTTTCGCCTGGAAGCCTCTGAGTGTGCCTGCAGTGTGCCCGCCCCAGTGGCTGCCGCAGATGAGTGGTGGGGAACCGCCCTGCCCGTGTGTACCACAAACTTCCTTTCCTCACTGCTTGCGCTGGTGCCTCCTGGTATTCCTTCCTCTCATTGTTCTTCTTTTGTTTATAGGAAGCCAGACACAAACGAAATCTCTGAAGGAACCTGGGGAGCAAATACCCGCAGGCACATGCTGTTCTTGTCCCCTTTCCACTCCCACCCCACTTCGCAGTCTCTAGACGCTTACCGAATTTCCCCAGCGGTCCAGCTCTAGGATTCTGGGGCAAAGGGGAGTGGGAGGGGCAGAAGGCAAGATGCTCACCTGGGTGCTGGGCCCACTCCAGGTGGAGATGGCCCTGCCCTGAGGCTCCAGCTGACTGTCATATGGTCCCTAGAGTGGGTGCAGTTGGGGGAATCTCAGTTAGAAAAACCCATGGCTTAATCTCTCTTTTGGTTTGATTCATTCCTAATGGACTATTTATTAAGTACTAGACTCTTGGGGGATTAGAGGCAGGCCAGGGTAGTGGGGAGATCATCTCAGAGGTGGGTTTGCATCTACAGTAGAATCCTCATTTGGTCAGGTGGGTGAGCTTGGGTAATTAATTTCTCAGAGCTTCATTTTACTCATTAATAAAATGCAAATCATAGTAACCATCACCTTGGGGGTTGTGACATAAATTATAATGTAGGTAAAGGTTTAATTCTGGACTTGTCTACAAAAATGGTGGTTATTGTCATCAGGTGACGATGCATAAGTATATGTATAGCCATGCATCTTCTGGATCAGTCCCAGTTTCCTAGGCAAAGCTGGACCCAAGTATAGTTCATGGTCCTCCAATTTAATCTTCTTCCATGGCTTGAACTATAATATGACTTGAAAGAGTTTGTAATTAATTTCCTAGAGATTTTGATAGTGTGGAGCATTGACATAAGTGCTTAGAAATACTTGAAAGTTCTTTTCGTTTGTGTGGACTGTGTGTAAGTCTATGTGTAAGTGGTGTGGGGAATGGGGGACCTGGTCTTGATTCCAGTAACCTCATTTAGAGGAATACCTATACGGCCAATTAAGAGCAGCTATTACACCCCATGTAGTCTCCCTTGTGGCTGGAATTCATGACCAGTCCACCAGGTTCAGAAATGACGGGAGCAGGTTACTCTCTGACGCAGCCTCTACTCATCCCCAACATCCCTCCCCCCAGGGCTGTGGTAAAGCCCTGTCAAGAGGCCAGCCATCTTCCTTCCCTTCCTCATCTCTGCTCAGAGCTTCCATAGACACCATCATGATCCATAAATGTCTGACTGAATCAGTAATAGTACATTTATTTTCATTTAATTGGAAGGAAGGGAATTTATTTTTTGCCCTCTGTTGGTTTGGGACTCTCAGCTGAAGACTATAAGTTTGGAGTAATTAAGGCCATAGCACTTTGCTTCCTTTTTTTTTTTTTATTGTGAGCTGCCTTTGAAATTGCATTTCAATATTTTGAAGGCTGTGGACATGGGGAGATGGAAACATCATTCTCATCCTTTGAGGGGCCTATGACTCAGTCCAAGCACTGGCTTGGCAGTGCAGGGTGGGGCAGTAGAAAGTGAAAAGTTTTGGGTCCTGATGATTTGGGTAGCATGGGCAAATAGCTCACCTTTCTGAGCTTTCGTTTTTTTCATCTGCTAAATGGGTATATTATTTTTGCATGAAGTTTGATGAAGTTTAAATAATACACAGATGAAGAAACCCAGTGAGGTTCAGTAGCTTTCTTAAGGTCACACAGATATGAAATGATCCAAGTAAGCTGATTTTTTTTCTTTTGGCTGGTTGACATTCTCTGATTGGGATGCGTCTTCCTAAAAGGGGTTCGAGAAAGGAGATTCTGGTTACGGTGCTGATGTTGAAAGGGATGAATTCCTGAGAACCACATTCCTGCTCTCTGAACATGTACCAGCACTCACAGAGCTCTCTGGCCTAGAGTTTTGCCAGGGGAGGTTGGGGGCAACTGAATATCTATGGATTTATCTGCAGCACATTAATTTTCCTCCTTTCTCTCCAACACACTAATTCCCCACCCTGCAATGATGGAAAAATAACAAAATAATTCTTTAACCTCAATTATAGTACTTGAGGGGTTTCCCTGATGGTGCAGTGGTAAAGAATCTACCTGCCAATGTAGAAGATGCAGGTTCAGTCGCTGAGTTGGGAAGATACCCTGGCAACCCACTCCAGTGTTCTTGCCTGGAAAATACCATGGACAGAGGAGTCTGGCGGGCTGCAGTTCATGGGGTCATAAGAAAGACAGGACTCAGTGACTGAGTGCTCATACACATGCAGTACTTGACAGTCCTATGTATGAAATTTGGGATGATGTGAATTTCAAGTGATTATACATTTAGTCTTTTTAAAAGCCTACTTTAGACAAATGGGTAACATCTAGTGGCCTGTTGCAATGTTAAAAAAACACTTACTGTTTTGAAAAAGACAACCCAAGTCTTAAAGTGACAGATTGGAAAAAACTAGCTCACAAGGTTATTATCAAGCTGGTTGCTTAGCTATATATTAGAAGGCAAAGGAAATAGCTAAAAATTGCAGAGTACATAATATTTGCAAGAACCCAGGTGGTGCTAGTGGTAAAGAACCCACATGCCAAGGCAGGAGACATAAGAGATGCAGGTTTGATCCTTGGGTTGGGCAGATCCCCTGGAGGAGGGTATAGCAACCCACTCCAGTACTCTTGCCTGGAAAATACCGTGGACAGAGGAGCCTGGTAGGCTACAGTCCATGGGGTTGCAAAGAGTCAGGCATGACTGAAGCGACTTAGTATGCATGCAATGAAAAAAAGGAATGGTGAATAAATGAAAGAAAGGGTATACTGATAAAACTGAATGAGGCAATACCTGTCACTTCAACCTCAACTAGAATTCTGACACTTGAGCAACACAGGTTTGAATGCTTCAGGTCCATTTTTACAGGAATATTTTCACTAGTAAATACTGCAGGGCTATGATGTGCCATTGCTTGAATCCATGATTGCGGATCTGGTGTGTATAGGGCCGACTATAAGTTGAATGGCTTTTCAGCTTGGCCACATGTCAGCACCCCTAGCCCCCAGCTTGTTCAGGAGTCACATGTATATATTTCACACCACTTGGGAAGCAACCCATGGTGGCACAAGTCCTGTTTACTTCCCAGTTCTGGAGAAAACAGGAATAGTTGTAGGATAGTCAAAAGGTAATATTTTCACATGGAGATTCAGATGAAGAAGAACGTGTCTTGAACTTTCTGTGAAATACCAGAATTAAGCTAAATGTGGAAGAATTTTTGAAGCTGAGAAAGATTGATTTTGTTTAGCATTATTTTCTCAGAATAGCCACAGCTTCTGATTTTCCATAAAGCACCCGTCTCAAGGGATAATTTATTCTCTTATTACTATAGGCTCCAACACAGCAGGAACTAGCAGAAAACAATAAGAAGCCTTTTGTCAGTAGCTAGAGCTGTGTCTTGTTTGGATCACTTGCCTAGGGCTTTAAAGGGTTGGTCGCTCCATCAACACCTATTAAGCATTCACTGTGTGTAGTGCACCAAGTCAGATGAATCAAATATGCAAAGAAAGACATTGAAATGGATTTTTGCCCTCCAGAAGCCATCTACATTAGAAAAGAAAGAAAAAATGATGCCCAATGAGTGCTCTAGGGAGTGTTTCTTACAGGCATTAAGCAGTGAGTAGAAATTCATCATTCATTCTTTCAGACCTGGTGCTCCTGCATACCTGGTGCTCTTCTAGGGCTGGTGGAGTCTTATCAGAGCAAGCTCTCCTTTTAGGCGAATTCACAGACAGGGCAAGGTAGTTTTTTTCTAGTTGGAAAGTTAGACCTAATCAGGGTTCCTAGTTAGCTGGTTCATAATTAGAGGGGGCTAAAGGTCCCCTGTAGCTCAGTCAGTAAAGAATCTGCTTGCAGTGCAGGAATCCTGGGTTTGAACCCGGGTCAGGAAGATCCTCTGGAGAAGGAAATGGCAACCCACTCCAGTATTCTTGCCTGGGAAATCTCATGGTCAGAAGAGCCTGGTGGGCTGCAGTCAATGGGGTTGCAAAGAGTCAGGCATGACTGGGTGACTAACACTTACTTACTTAAAGGTAGAAAGGCAGGAGAAAGCCTTTCAGGCCTGGTCCAAGGGTTTCTTCACTTTCCCTGGCAAAGGGGAGGTGATGGAGGCAGGAGAGATGTCACCTGCAGGGAAAGTGTTTGATCAGTTTGGCCAGGGAGAGCTTGAATTGGAATGAATGAGGAAGTTAGGGGCTGGAGCAGATCAAGGCTAGGAGGCCTGGGGATGCTTTTGGAGACAGCAGGCCTGAGGTCAGAGGTGGCACTGGGAAGCGGAAGAAGTGGATGGGCATTAGAGGGAAGGAAACAGAGCCATTGGTAATGCCAGGAGTTAGAATCAAGTTGAAAACTAAGCTGCACTGATCCTCAGGCCTTGAGCCTCACTCCTGCCTTAGGCCTCATGACTGCCGGGTGGTGCCAGGCATGGTTGGCAGATGTTTTATGGTTTACTTCCTAGTCAGTATCAAGAAAAGCATTGGAGTCAGTCTGAGTTTGAGAGAATCAGGTCCCCTGTCTGAGTGCCTCTAGTTCTGGGTTGTCTGACAGTCACAGGACCAGAGGTTTTCAGGCTTTGTGAAGCAAGGGAAATCTTAGGTAGCTGCCCCCCTTTCACCCCCTCTGAAGGATGGCGCTGCAAGAAACAGCTACCTTTTACTCTGTGTGAATGGAGACTAAATGGGGGTTTCACAGTTAATTCTGAATGCCTTGATTTCAGGTATCCACAGTGGGGGTGCTGTGTGTGGGATACACAGAGGTGAAAGGAATAGATGGGTCTCCATTCTCATGACTCTGGTCCTGTGAAGGAGACTTGACCAGTAGTCACACTCAACCATATGTGATTAGAAGTTGTAAAAAGCCCAACAGAGGGGATGCTGAAGGGGTCCAGCACAGAAGAGGACTTTCTTTAGATTAGCGGTCCGGGACGGCTTCTATGGGGAAGTGTCATAAAGGCTGTGTAGAGGCTGGGAAGCATCTGAATGAAAGGCGGATGGGCTCGTCCCTTGGGCCTGAGACCAGCCAGCATGGGTGGGGCTCAGCGTGTGATGGGGAGGAATGGTCTCACTTTGTCCACTGCCTCCGTGGGTCGCAGCCGCCAGCATCTCCCTCTGCCTGGACTTACCATGTAGCCTCCTAGCTGGTCTTCCAGCTTTCACCTTATCCTGTCTCCCTCACTTCAAGTCACTCCCTCCTTCCACCCCCCAGCAAACTCTTTTCTGCACACAACACTGGTGATTCTTTATAGAACGAAGCACATCATGCCAGTCCTCTAGCCTTAGCTCCTCAACAGTCCAGAATTTTCCTGTGGCTGCTGGGGCCCACATTCCCTAGCCCTGGCAGCCACCCACGTGGACCTCGCCTCCGGAGCTCCTTCCTCACTGTCCCTCTCGCTCATGGCGCTTTAGGTCCGCTGACCTTGCTGCAGCGTGAGCCACGCTTGTCTCAGGGCCTTTACACTGGCCTTTCTCTTTCAGCAAACGTTTGCTCCTTGATTTCACCCAGGTCTTTGCTCAAATGTTTTCCTTCTCTGCAGAAGTGCCTTCTCTTTATAGATAGTATTTTTTCACCTGCTTTAGTCTTTTTCCCAGCACTTTTTACTATATGATGTTACATCCTGTAATTTTTGCTAGTCTTTCCCACCAAAATGAAAGCCATGGGAAGGTCGAGGTCCTTCCAGGTCAAGGCCCACAGTCAGTGTCCTTGCTGAGCCCGCTGATCTCTCCCTAGCACCTAAGACCTTGCACATAATAGATGTTTACTAAATATTCATGAAGGAATCACCATTCATGCTGGAGAAGTAGGCCGTTAAGAGGACTGGGAGCCTTTTGAGACTTACAGGATTTTGCACTTTGTCCTAAGGGCAGTGAGACCCTTTTAAGGGTTTGAAGCATGGGAGTGACAAGGTACATTTCAGAGGTAGAGTTCAGGAGATGTGTTTGGCTTGCAAACGGGAGGTGAGGGAGAAGGAAGTGCCAGGCACAACTACAGATTCTTATGAAGAGAAACAGGATGGGTGGAGGTGGCGTGTGCTGAAAGGTGTGATTTGGGGAGGGAGTCTGAATATAACACAAGAGCTTGAATTTCCATGAGATGCGTGGGAGACCTGTGGGGGTTGGGGGTGGCAATAAGGGGCTGGATGTGCAGGACTGAAGCGCCACCAGAGGGCAATTATGTTGCTCCCTAGAGAGGGATCGGGGCTGCACATCCCATGTCATGGGGTGAACACCAAGGCTGTGTTTCTTATTTGTGGTGATGAAAAGTCTGTTGCTTCAGAGCTTTTAAGTCTTTCACAGGTCACAAGTAGCCATCTTTCTTCCTTGAAGGTGAGGCAGGGACCCTTGTATTTTTTTTTTTTTTTCTTTTTTACCGATTTCCTGTTAATGAACTGGCTGCTCCCTCAAGACTGACTGGATGACCTTGGACAGGTGAAGCTTTTTGAGGTCCAGTTTCCCATTCTGTAAAAGACCCATGAAAACCATTATCCCCTGAGGGTTTGGTGAGAAGTAGATGAGATAATGCTAGTGAAGCAGGGGGCAGGGAGCATAATCAATACCCATTATTTTTATTTTTATGGATAGCTAGGCGTCTTTAGCTTCCGCTCACCTTCTCACTTCCTCCCCTAACATCACAGAGAATTCACCCATTCCCGACTCCCAGCTCTCAGGAGGTGTGAGCCTGGTGCCCTGGCCCATACATGATCATACCTCCCTTGAATGGCTGTGTGTCTCTTTTCAGGATATTAACCAGAAACTCCAGGAGGACAACCAGGAACTGAGGGACCTCTGCTGTTTCCTGGATGATGACCGGCAGAAGGGCAAGAGGGTGTCCCGGGAGTGGCAGAGACTGGGCCGGTACACGGCGGGGGTGATGCACAAGGAGGTGGCCTTATACCTGCAGAAGCTGAAGGAGCTGGAGGTGAAGCAGGAGGAGGTTGTGAAGGAGAACATGGAGCTCAAGGAGCTGTGTGTGCTGCTGGACGAGGAGAAGGGCACGGGCTGCGCGGGCAGCCGCTGCTCCATCGACAGCCAGGCCAGCCTGTGCCAGCTCTCCGCCGCCACGGCGCCCTACGTGCGGGACGTGGGCGACGGCAGCAGCACTTCCAGCACGGGCAGCACCGACAGCCCCGACCACAAGCAGCACGCGGGCGGCGGCAGCCCCGAGCACCTGCAGAAAGCCAGGCCGGAGGGCAGCCCGGAGCACGCCAAGCACGGGAGTGCCAGCCCCGAGCATCTGCAGAAATCCAGGGCCTCCGGGACCCCAGATCACCCCAAAGCGCTCAAAGGCCCCAGCCCCGAGCACCACAAACCCTTGTGCAAGGGCAGTCCAGAACAGCAGAGGCACCCACACGCAGGGAACAGCCCGGAAACGCTGCCCAAGCACGTGCTGAGCGGGAGCCCCGAACACTTCCAGAAGCACAGGCCCGGGGGCAGCCCGGAGCACCCCAGGCACAGCGGAGGAAGCCCCGAGCATCTGCAGAAACACGCCCTTGGTGGGAGCCTGGAGCACCTCCCCAGGGTCAGGGGCACCAGCCCCGAGCACCTCAAACAGCATTTCGGGGGGAGCCCTGATCACAAACACGTGGGTGGAGGCGGCGGCGGCGGCAGCGGCAGCAGCAGCAGGGAGGGCACCCTCCGAAGGCAGGCGCAAGAAGATGTGTCCGCCCATCACCGGAATGTCTACAGTGGCATGAACGGTGGGTCAGTACGTGCTGCGGAACTGGGGCAACTCTGTAGACAGTTAAGATGATGAAGGGCTTGCCAGCCACATAAGAAAGTGCGGGTGCCAGCAGGCGCTGGCCTGGAGGTGGGTGGGGAAGGGCAGCATACCTTTGCCCCCAAATTATGATGTGTGTTACTCACCCTCCATTTGTCCTAGTTTTATGCATTTATCAGGTAGCCTGGAGAATATTGGGGAGGAGGGGGCAGGGGAAGGAGAGGAATAATAATTCTGTGGGACCCTGAGTATTCAGGGTGAGATTTTGGTCATTGAAGATAAAAATAGAACCAATCTAAGATTGCTGTATCTTCAACATTTTCCTAGTTGTGTGTAGTTTCCTACAGGGCTCTACCGAAACAGGTGACCAGAGGTTTCTGAATCCAGTTAACAGCTTATGTGCAGGAAGAAATAAGTATTTATTATGAGAAACAATAACACTAAAAAAGAACTAGGGCGTCCTTAAATGGCTTGAAACTGGGTTGCCACGTGGCTGTAAACATGCCTTACTTTACCTTGAGGATGTTTTGCATTGTGTTGGGGACTTCAACAGGAATCTGTGACTTTTCTTTCCATCTGGAGTGCATCAAATGATTTCCTTCCCAGTTCAGTCAAAACCCACCCAATCCTCTCATAAAAGTCCCTCAAAGGTATTCTGAGTAGCATACTCTTTTACATTGCGAGTCATCTTTCTGGTTGTTTAAGTGTTCCCTTTAAAATGTACAGATGTGTTTGAACATTCCTTTGCTTTCCAAAGCGTAACAGCCACTACATTTGCTAACACTACAGCCCTATAAACCTGACTCCAAACCTTTTGGAAGAGGTTTAATGTTCTGCATCTTGGTCTGAAACCACTTTGAACGTGAGAGAAAATAGTTTTCTGTTTAAAAAAAAAAAATCCTCACAGTTCTTTTATGTTACATGTGGCCGAGTTAGAACTAAAATGACTGGCTTTATGAAGTGGAGTTTTTGCATCCAAAAATTTTCAGTATCTGAGGTTTTTCACTTTATCTGAAAGCTGCCCCAGAGTCTGTGTGAAGTCAATTCTGAGCAGTGGTCGAGGCCACCAATTTTAGCAGTGACACAAAGAGGTAAAATTTCAATATTATACTTGGGGATTTACCTGTTGGATTTCATTTCATCCTAATCTTATAGTGCTGAAAATTGACTCCTGAGGCTTGGCTTCTAATACATCCAATATTTTAAGCACAGATTTGGAACTGGAAAGAGCAGGAAAGGGCGGATGCTGTTGGTTTCTCAGTTGTGTGTGCTGGGAGGTGGAAGCCAGGAGAAGCTAGTTCACTGTTGTGTTGAGGCCACCCCCTGGCTGGTGGGGGCTTTTACTTTGCTGATGGCGCCCTCGCTTGCTCTTGCTTAGGAGGTGGAGGAGCAGCCTGATTGCAGGGCAGCCTCAGCTGTGCAGTTCTCACAAGAGATGAAAGTCTCTTAAAAAGATATTTTGGTTGTGTTGCTATCACAGGATGTATGTATCATCAGCTATGAAACTTGACCTCGGGGTAATGGGTTAAAGGGAAGGTAAAGTTGATGACTTTTCTATTTCTTGATTATTTTTTAACTAGCATGAATAGTAAATGTGCACACTATTTTGAGTAAATTTTGTGTCTTGAACCAAAATAAAGATTACTTAAGGGCAGGTGGTTCACTTACAAAACAATTCTCTTTGCAAAGGACTTATTTAAATAAAGAACGTCTCTAATTGACGTACAATTTAATTTACCAGAAGGGATTTTAGGTACAATTTTTAAGCAATTTGTGCTAAGTAAGGTCTGTCTCTAGATTGAGAGGACATTACATCATGGAATCTTATTGCCTGAGTTCAGACTAATTTCACAGGAAATTTTTAAAAAAATTTTTAAAATTTAAAGATTTGATGTAACATAGATATATTCTTTAGAATGAAACCATGGTTTCTTGTTTACTTCAAGTTTTCCCTTTCAAAAGTGACAAATCTTCTGCAGTTGATATCCTCACCAAAGTGTATTTGTAGTCTATTTGCATTGCATTTTTATTTCAGTAATTAATTGGAAAATGAAGAGGCACGATGAGATGTTTATGGATCATCAGCCTGGAAACTTGGGCACTGGTAGCTTGGGTTTATCCTGCTGTTACAAATTAATTTTTTATATGGATGGTAAGACATGACTTTTCAAATTTTTAAATCCCCACACACTTTGGTTGAATTACTGGCTTATAAACAGATAGGAATCAGCAGCGAGGTAAATCCCAAATTGCAAATTTGCTGAGTCATTTACAGAGTCCTTCAGTGTGGGGTTGGAGTGATGGGTGTTTTGGATGAGCACTTAAATGTTTTTGCTTGAACACAAAGCAGGTGAAAATTGTGAGGGAATCATTTTGTGTGATTTGGGAGGTGTAGCTGCATTCCCGACTTACTGGTCTACCAGTAAGCCACCCCCAGTTGTGACAACTATATCTCCAGACGACTGTCAGAGGTTCCTGGGGTAGCGAGACAGCAAGATTGCCCCTGGTTCAAAATCACTGCTTTTGAGCAGCGTTTTTCAGTTTGGCTGCAGGTTAAAATGACTGGACTGACTTTGTAAAAACACTGGTGCATGGACCCCACATTCTGATGAACATTGATTTTTTTCTGGCACTGTGCTGTGGGCACATTGTAAAAAAGATCCCTTCAGGTGATTCTAATAAGCAGACCAGGTGGAAGCCTCTAACCAAGGTGCGTGGTTATTGCATAAGATAGGTTGGTGTGAGTGAAGCTCTTAAACACCTAGGCAGCCTGGGAAGAAGGAAGTTCTTTCCTTTGCTGACCTCCAGAACTGAGAGGACTGATCGCAGCAGGTACTGAAAAACTGCACCCCTCACAACCCCAGCCCAAGGCTATCTTTGGGGGTGTGGGTTGAAAATTTGAGTTTTTGGTGGGTGGGATTATTAGGTTAATTTGGGGAAACTGACATATGAATCATTTAAGGCTACTTTTTAAAGGCTTCACATCAAGATAAAGAAGCACGGGGGTTTCTAACTTATTTCCAGTGCATGTAGATCATATGGCATCTGCCATCCTACTGGCTTTTTCCCACAAGAGAACCCCACATTTCAGATCTCTCAGTTTATAGGTTTTATCTTGAGTTTTAAGATTGCTTCTAATTCTCTGTTGAGGTTACTAATGAGTAGATGAAAGATGCTGATAACACAAAAATGGCCTTGTCTGTTAGGAATGAGATAACCTGTGTCTGGAAGAGCCCAGCACTGTGAGTTCAATAGTGGTACATTACAGCATGAGTGATCGCTCTCATCAATCTTTTATTTTTGCTTAGAAAAAGTCAGACCATCACTTATGAATGCATTTGGACAATAGAAATTGACTGTCTCTTGGGAGAAAAATGTCAGCAGTTACCGAAATACTACAGAACTGATTTTTAACTGAGGTTCTCTGAGTATATTTTCTATTGTGTGAGCTGACACAGAGATGGTTAAAGACCTTGATAATAGTTTTTGATCTTCAAACTTCAGTATGGTAATTTGGTAGCCTTATATACACTTTGATAGGACATCAATTTTAAGACTTTTTGAAAAATATAATCGATTATTCTCTTACCTGTTTATTCAAAGCCTGTTGCATTTATCATAAGAATAAATTTGATTTAATGACATAGAATGCTTAATATTGGAAATATAGTTTAAGATATTGCAAACTATCTGAGGGGCAAACTATTATTAGAAAACCTAGATGGCTTACAGAGGTAATTTCTGGTAGAATGTAAGGTTTTCAGCTGCACTGGCAATAATAGCACAAAGCTATAAACATTCTTGAAATCTTGGGGACCATTTTAATCTTCTAAGGAGATTATCTATATCATCTATATGCTCTGTGTGTATGTGTTTATATATATATATTTCAGTAACTTTAATATTATGTTTAAATAATGCCAGCCATTCAGCTGATTGATTCTGTTTAGCAAACATCTTTAAATGCATTGGGGTTCAGTCACATAAGCTGTGAAGCTGAAGACAAATTACTTTCAGCTGATCATGGTTGTGCTCTTTACACCTACTTGAAATCAATTAAACATTTGTAGTTTGGGGTCCATTGCAACTTTTCAGAAGATACGCACAGTAGGAAGATACACTTGAGTTAGTAATGCTTTTATCTTTTTAACTGAAATGATTCAGAAAAAGCCTAACTTACAACAAAATTACGGTGACTATTCCATTTCATCTGAGAAGTCATTTTCACAAGTGTCAAATGAATAATAAGGCTCTACATTTACTCATAGTAATGATAGATTATTCTGGAGACATCAGTGTGGGGATCATATTAATTAAGCTCCACTGCTCAAAAGTAAGAATGTGAAGCCAAACCTTGCAAAAACTGAAAGAAAAGTTTTGCTTGTGTAGCACCATTGGGCCAGTGTGTGATGAAGTCTCCTGGAGGAGGGCACGGGGACCCACTCCAGTATTCTTGCCTGGAGAATCTCATGGACGGAGGAGCCTGTGTGTCTCCAGAGGTGGTCACAGTCCATAGGGTCGAAGAGTCAGGAATGACTGAAGCAACTTAACATGTATGCATGCGTTGAAGTCTGTGACCCTCGACTCTGAAATTTCTCGTTTTAGCCACTTCTGATATTTAGAAACTCTGAAGCTAGATAGAGCTGTGAGTCCCTATGTTAGATAGCTCTTCTTTATTTTTTTTCCAATATCTACTTTTAATAGGGTTTTAGTCACTCTAGTACCAGCATGGTGTCAGCAGTGTTCCTTGCTGCCCTTACCTGGCCTGATTTTAACTCATTTCCTCCCTGTTTCTAAATTCTTCTCTGCTGTAATGGTTGTCATACCTTGGAAAAATGGATAAGCACACTGATTAGAAAGAACTGTGTTGAAAACAAGAGTAAGTGACCTTGAAGTATCCTTTTGTGAGTAAAGTGCATGGACTTTAGTGAATGATCCATGTGTCATGCATTTATCATGCATTTATATTTATATTTAACG